CTAACAAATAAGTCTATTTTATCTTTACATTTATGTTCGACAACCCATGATTTTATGGAGCCCCGAAGGCTAGCTAGGCAGATAGCATTAGCGAGAGCTATTGTTTGCTAACACCATATGTGCCATTGTTTACGTTCAGTTTGTCTTTTCTATAGTTGTTGTTGCTATTTATAGTATTGTGCTGCAGTAGTTTGTGGAATTTACAAGTCATGTTTCTGTTCTAGATGATTACATTGGGACTAGCGAGGAGGAACAGCGAGGAGGACACAACGTCCTCTGCATCAACAGCACAAACCGAGGAGACGATCTGGCCCTGCAGAATCAATGCCATGTCTTATCTTATTGCTTGTTGATAAATAATTGCACCCACCAGCGATCACACAGAAAGATGGCATCATCTAGGCGTCCCTCTGCAGTCAGAAATATCATAAACAACCATCGTCACAAGCACTGTACAGGGGTTTATGGATTTAAGAGAATACTTATCACAGTGAAACCTTTATCATCTGTTGCAATTAAAGCAAATAAGAGAATAAATACTTGGTTAAATAATACATTTTAACTCTTTAGCAGGACAACTCTGCATACTGTTTGAAATTGAGTTTGCTAGCTTGAGGTCCTCCTCTAAAACATAACATTACATAATGGTATTAAGAATACATGATAAATACATGTAGAAAAATTACTCAATTGTAATACCCTCGTTGTGCTAGACTCAAACACATTGCTTATATATTTCAAAGAGAAGAGAACAAAAGAAAACACCTATGCAAAGAGAGCGGTGCACAGCGCTTAATATTTACTTGCACTATATTTCTGTTGATCTGGGTTATTGTGTTGCACTGTTGGAGGAGCCTGTGACCTAAGATGTTCATTGTCATAACTACACTAGCTATGTTCGTATGACAAAATAAAAAACCTTGAACCTTGAGGCTGTGTCTTTCAGACAAACCATCATAATCATATTATTTTATGCTGTGGATACTTTAGCCTCCATCCCATGTTAACAATTTTTTACACTTGCATTTATGAATATAGTTCTGTTGTGTTTCACACTTTTGTATTTATGTTTATAGTTTGCTTTGATATTGCTTCATTTATTAGATTATTATTATGGGGGCAAGTACTGGTGCTTGAAATTCAAATATTTACTAAATAGTCAATTCTGATAACATTTTTTGGTTTAAATAATTTGACAAACACATGTATGTGAAAAAGAAAAGATGTATTTATGTTCAATACAATACAATGAATATTTAGGTATTACACGTAGGTTTCCTCAGGCATCCTGAAGTTCTCCACTTTGTGTGTGAAAGATGGAACAATCACATTCCACCACTCGGTAGCTCGGTCGGTAACTTCTGAAATACACAAACAAAGCATACATATTTTAATAGCTAAAAGTGGTAGCTACAATTAATTAAATACTTGAAATACTTTGGTCGTATAGGGAGCGTGAGCCTAAACACATTGCTAGTTAGCGAACGTTAGCTTACCAGTAGCATTGTAGTTAGTAGTGATTCGAGTCGTCCTGTAGTCTCTGCGGCGTAGGAGGACTGCCCGAACTCTCGCGTCAGCTTCTTCTATACCTCGTCTTGCTATACGTCGCCTCTTTCGAAACAACTCTTGTCTATTTCTTGTGATAATAAACCACACAGCAAAAAACAAGCAAACGATCGCTTCACATCTCCATTGTTGTGTCGCATTGAGATGACGTCACGGCAGTTTTTAAGCAGCGTCGCTCCGCCTATACTGCGTTAACTATAGATACTACCCCAGTTCCTAAACTGTAATGGAAACGCGCCACAAAGTGAGCTGGTCCTAACGAGGCCGGGCGCGGCCAAAGGAGGCCGAGCGGGGCCGAGCGAGGCTGTGTAGTGGAAACGCGGCATAAGACACATTGTGAAGACTTAAGGCCCCGACACACACCAGGCCGTATTCGGCCGTCTTCGGTTGTCTGGCGACAACGCGTTCCTTGTCGCCCAAAGTCAATTTGGTGTGTCCCGAACCCTCGGCCGTGACACGCCTTATTTGGCCTTTCACGGTCAGACAAATGGCCGATTCAACATGTTGAATCGGCCATTTGTCGGACACAAGCTATCGGGCCAAGAAAGCACTCTGATCAGCTGTTCGCTAGCAAATGAGAAGCGAAACGGAAGTGAGGGACGTAAACAAAGGATGAAGAAGGCACAGGACAGCAGCTAAACCCCAGCAGGTGATCCTTAAAGACATCAAACATAGCCCTTAAATGTCCTCTCTTACCTCCCACACATAGCAGGGACATCTCTGATATCGGCGGGAGCGTCCCCGGCTGTCCTCTGCTGAGAGCTCCGTGATTTGTTTGGTCAAGTTGCAGGATTAGTCTCAAGTACCTCAACATTGTCCTTAAGTCCAGTGTCTAAGTAAATGAGATCTACTGCTGTTCATTTACCTATTGTGAGTCGCCTCGGATAAAAGCATCACATGGAAATTGTACATTTAGCAAGAAGTGGCCATTATGACATTACATACATTACTACATTGCTGAGTCAATAAACGACACACCCTCCAGAACACTGCGATCATCAGATGCAGGTCTATTAACTGTGATGTGATAGTATGCACTTTATGTGCTCATTTCATCATTCATGTATTTTTATATTCTAAAACATGTTTTCGATGGACGAGAGTGAAAATGGAACGCACACGCTATTTGTTTGTTTATATCAGTCTGTTCTTCTTCTCTGTCTTCCGGTTGTTGCCTATTTGAATGACGAATAAGACGAATACACACTACCGCCGCCTGCTGGTAAGGAGAGTTATTGCCACTCACGCATGCGCAGTTCGTACGTGCTCGGCTGAAGTCTTTGCGGTGATTTCCAGTGCGACCACACGGCCAAGACGCAGGAGAACACGGCGACGCAACAGTCGGTGTCGGTGAGTTCTCTGGTGACTGCTTGGTGTGTCAGGGCCTTATGACACATTGTGAGACGAGACACCTGAGACGGACCATTGTGAAGACCGAGACACATTGTGAAGACCGAGACACATTGTGAAGACCGAGACACATTGTGAAGACCGAGACACATTGTGAAGACTAAGACCAGTTTCTCACAACTCTGAACACAATTTCATTTTGATTTCAAAGATAAACAGCGATTTATTTCTGATACGGTCCGTGGTTGCGGTCGAATACTCCAAAAAATCAGCTCCTAACTTCTAACCCTATCCCTTGACCTCTGAGTGAAAGGTCACGGGGTTAAGGGATAGTGGATAGGATAATTCAAAAGGACTTAGGAGAAGAGACTGCGGTGCTTTAGAGAATCGACTGCACTTTCACTATCCGACGTGTTTATGATGCGCCAGCGGACGTCATGAATGTGCGTCTGCTGCTGTGGGGAAACTATGGAAACTACAGTTTTCTATCCAGCGGACTACAACATGGATGTTTAATAAGAACGAGGGACTACTGTAAACTCATCTAGAGACTCTGCACCGTGCTCTGATGCTGTTATGCTTTATGAACGGGGACAACAGAGAAACATATTCTTCATGACCAAAGTTGGAATTGAAATAAAAAAGGAAAGTGAAACTTATGCTCGTCACCCTCTCCCTCCGGTCCACATTAATACAAATGATCCCAATACGTATGACTGTATGAAAAGATCTTCAAATCAATACAAATGTATTTATTATAAACGTTAGTCCTTAACATCTATCACTGTGTATATCACCATTCAAACATCTTTTCAAAGTTGAACAAACCCCACACAGCTTAGTAAAGACTGTGAAATGTTGACTTTATTTGATCATTTCAGTCAAAACTAACGTTCATATTTCTCTTTTTGATTATAATACTGATGAACGTTCAAAACAAAGCACTTTGGCAACTTACCACATACGTTTTAAAAAGCTTAATAAGCACCGTAACTTTCATGATATCATTTCTCGTTCATAATCGGTTGTTTCCGTGAACGGCCGACTGTTGGGTGACGGCAAATGCTGCGGCCGCAAGGCATTGTGGGGCAGCATGTTCTCCTCTCCTTAAGGTGAGGGAGGTCCAGTGGTTCCTAAGCTAAAGGAGGTTCTAAAGGAAGTTTGAAACCTCCTTTCCTTTCATCTAGAGAATTGGAACGGCTCTTATCATGGCTGCCACTGAGGGACCTCCGGGTCATTTCACTCCGTTAGGAAGGTTCCTAAGCTAAAGGGACTATTCGACTGCAAGCCTTGTCTCAATAAGCAGAACATCATGACATATAACAGATCAGATACACAGGGACAGGTGTGTGTGTGTGTGTGTGTGTCTCTGTTACCTGTGCAGGTGAGTTCTGCGCAGGTCACGTGTTCCGTCAGAACGGTCCCGTACCCCTTCAGCTTCTCCACGATCCTCCGGTAAACAGCCGCGTCATCGCGCCCCCCTCGGATGCTGCCGCAGAAATACACCTTCATGTCCCCACGTACTGCCTCAGTAACTATCCGAGAAACTACCTGTATACCTCAGTAACTACCTGTATACCTCAGTAACTACCTGTATACCTCAGTAACTACCTGTATACCTGTACTACTTTTATTACACCTGTACTAACTCTATCTATCTCTCTCTTTATTACCGTCTCTTCACTGTCTCTTTCCCGCGCTTCATGTAAACGTGGCTCTGCGTGATGACGTCGTTACCTTACGTTGTGTGTCACGTAAACTTTGATTGGTTGAATCCCAGTAGTCTGGCCTCTCGGACTCTGATTGGAGCAGAGCGACCGGAACTGCCCTACAGGCGGCAGACTTTCAGAATAAAGGCTCAGATAATATTATAATTTCAAAATGTGAAAATAATGATGATAATAAGAAGAATAATAATAAGTTTCCTGTTTACTTTCTCTCTAACAAAACTAATGACAACATGGCTGAGTTGAATACTTGATTGTGTCCATTGGGACATTTGAGAGGTCACATGACAGCAGCTGGTCAGCACTCTAATAACACATGAACACACCCTGTAGAGACTGGAGAGAGTCTAGAGAGACTTAGAGCTCAGTAACTGTTTATTATGGTCTGTAAATACAATGAAACACACTTTAACATGGGGGGGGGGGGGGCTCAGTGGGGGGGGGGCTCAGTGGGTCATCAGCAGAGAGGCGTTCAGGGTCAGCTCCGGCACCTCTCTGGCCACCCGCTGCATCGGCACCATGGGGGGTCCTTCAAGAGACTCGAGAAGACCTGAAGAACGGAGGGGTTAGAGTGAGTTAGTGTGTGTGTGTGTGTGTGTACCCTCTATAATCTTGTGTGTGTGTGTATATGTGTGTGTATATGTGTGTGTGTACCCTCTATGACAGGCATCCTCAAAGTCCGGACCGAACCACCACTGTCTCCGGACTCTGAGTAAATTATACTTTTCATATGTATTATCTGTATTATCTGTGAGACATCGCCACAACGCAACGAGTCAAAATTCTCCGCTATATCAACTGCAAACAGCGTGTCTGACTGATCCACTGTCTGGAGCGATGTGTCTCTGTCACACACACACACACACACACACACACACACACACACACACACACACACACACACACACACACACACACACACACACACACACACACACACACACACACACACACACACACACACACACACACACACACACACACACACACACACACACACACACACACACACACACACACACACACACGACTCATAAACCTTTTGAGAGCATCATCTTCACTGCAGCATCGCTTGCTGCGCACATTCCTGACAGAGGGCAATGCAACTTTTGATGATTTGCTCAACAATCAGAAGCTGAGCAAAGGTCTGGAGCGTTTGGGGCATTAGGAAAGAGCTGCAAGTGTTTCTGTCAGAGCAAAAGAGAGAAGATGGAAGCTGATATAACATCTCATCTCCTACATCTCAAGCTGCAGGGCAACAACACAGTGTGTGCTTTCCAGAGGAAACTGGAGGTTTTCAAAAGTGACCTACAGGTAAGCCTTTTTCATATTTTCTACCACACACATTTCCTGGATTCCAATGAACACCTTGTTGACACTTGATCATACCCTTTTAAGCAGTGCTCCTTATATATTTGTCTTATTTATTTATTTTTTCCTACAGGAGGGACTGCTCCACTTCCCCAAACTTTTGGAACAGACCAAAGGAGAAAATCGTCCTCAGAATCATGTTGAATTCCTGGAGAAGCTGATTGAAAACTTCAAGACTCGCTTTGATGACTTCAGATTAGGAAAACAAGTCCTACTGGACACATCAGAAATGTCAGAGTTCTCTGCAGAAGCACAACACATCTTCCCATGGGCTGCTTCTCTGCAAAGTGAGTTGATTGACCTCCAGGAAAACCTTGCACTGAAAGAGGCTGACTGTGACACTCCCACCTTCTGGACAAAGATGGTCACTGCAGCTCATTTCCCTCTCCTGCATAAGATGGCACATTCTCACAATGTTCGGCTCAACCTACAGGTGTGAGTCTGCATTCTCAACAATGAACATGGTGAAGAACAAGTCCCGCAGCCGACTCACCAATGAACACTTGCATCAGTGTGTCCGCCTGGCCATCACTCCCTTTCTGCCAAAGTTCAAAGTCTTGGCAACAGACCAAAGGTGCCACTTCTCTCATGAAGCAACAGTTCTGGACTTATTTCGACTTTGATTCTTGGGATGGTTTGATTCACTTCGAGACTTTTTGTTTTTGCAACCTCGTGCTAAGAATCGTGTTGCAATTGTTTACAAGTTTGACTGACCGTATTAAACGGACCTTTGTCGTATTGAACATTTTCTTTGTGGACCTTTAAGATTTGTATTTGAGTACCCCTGCTGTATGATATTGTGTATGTGTATGTGTGTGTGTGTGTGTACCCTCTATGATAGTGTGTGTGTGTGTGTGTGTGTGTGTATGTGTATGTGTGTGTGTGTGTGTACCCTCTATGATAGTGTGTGTGTGTATGTGTATGTGTATGTGTGTGTGTGTGTGTGTGTGTACCCTCTATGATAGTGTGTGTGTGTATGTGTATGTGTATGTGTGTGTGTGTACCCTCTATGATATTGTGTATGTGTGTGTGTGTATGTGTATGTGTGTATGTGTGTGTGTGTGTGTGTGTACCCTCTATGATATTGTGTATGTGTGTGTGTGTATGTGTATGTGTGTGTATGTGTGTGTGTGTGTGTGTGTACCCTCTATGATATTGTGTATGTGTGTGTGTGTGTGTATATGTGTGTGTGTGTGTGTGTGTACCCTCTATGATATTGTGTATGTGTGTGTGTGTGTGTGTGTGTATATGTGTGTGTGTGTGTGTGCACGGGTTGAAAGAGTGCACGGGTTGAAAGAATGCACGGGTTGAAAGAGTGCACGGTTGAAAGAGTGCACGGTTGAAAGAGTGCACGGGTTGAAAGAGTGCACGGGTTGAAAGAGTGCACGGTTGAAAGAGTGCACGGTTGAAAGAGTGCACGGGTTGAAAGAGTGCACGGGTTGAAAGAGTGCACGGTTGAAAGAGTGCACATCGTCTACAGTGCACGGGTTGAAAGAGTGCACGGGTTGAGTGCACGGGTTGAAAGAGTGCACGGGTTGAAAGAGTGCACATCGTCTACAGTCTGGGTTGAACTGGCGATGCATTGATTGTAGCGTCTTCATATCATATCCCCTCAGCCTATCAGCACTCAGCAGAGACAAGCTTTGCTTCGCTCTACGGAGGCCGAGAGTCTCAGTTATCACACACATGGAAGTCGAGGAGAAAGAGAAACACAGCGCAACACTTCGGATTTTTCAAGAAAGACGGACAACTTGAAAAATCGCTCGCAAATTGTAAACGATGCCATGCGGCTTTAAAGTACACAAGTAGCACGAGGAAGTTAGCGACGCACATAAAGAGGCGACATGGGGTCAGCGGCTGGAAAGAGAAACCTGAAAGTTAGACATGAGTTCACTCAGTGAGGTGTTCTGTCAGAGAGAGTGGTGTTTAGTTTACAGCAGCCTGTGACTGACAATCATAGTTTACATGTCTTCCTTACTGTAAGCAGTTCTGAAACACCTGTGAAAGGTTATATTCTCTATTGTTCCTATAGAAACCACTGCTTCCTGCTCTCTGGTGAGTTAGCCAATGGCTGAGTGTGAAGCACATCAGGCAGCAGCTGGATGGGCATTGCTCTCTGTGGTAGTTATTTGCACATTGTTAATCCTGGGCATCCTTAAAGCACTTTTTTGTTAATGTATGATTTGCTGCATATAAGGAATAAAACTAAATCCTCTGTCGTACCATATTGAAGTATCATTATTTTGCATCGTATCGCATCGTATCGTATAATGTAGAATCACATCGTATCGTATCGTTGGTGTTTCAAAGGTATCGTTAATGTATCGTATCGTTGGTAGCGTATTGAGATGCGCATCCCTAGTGTGTGTGTGTGTGTGTGTACCCTCTATGATATTGTGTGTGTGTGTGTACCCTCTATGATCTTGTGTGTGTGTGTGTGTGTATACCCTCTATGATATTGTGTGTGTGTGTACCCTCTATGATATTGTGTGTGTGTGTGTACCCTCTATGATATTGTGTGTGTGTGTGTGTGTACCCTCTATGATCTTGTGTGTGTGTGTGTGTACCCTCTATGATATTGTGTGTGTGTGTGTATACCCTCTATGATATTGTGTGTGTGTGTGTGTGTATACCCTCTATGATATTGTGTGTGTGTGTGTGTATACCCTCTATGATATTGTGTGTGTGTGTGTGTGTACCCTCTATGATATTGTGTGTGTGTGTGTGTACCCTCTATGATCTTGTGTGTGTGTGTGTGTGTACCCTCTATGATCTTGTGTGTGTGTGTGTGTGTATACCCTCTATGATATTGTGTGTGTGTGTGTGTATACCCTCTATGATATTGTGTGTGTGTGTGTGTGTACCCTCTATGATATTGTGTGTGTGTGTGTGTGTACCCTCTATGATATTGTGTGTGTGTGTACCCTCTATGATATTGTGTGTGTGTGTGTACCCTCTATGATCTTGTGTGTGTGTGTGTGTGTGTACCCTCTATGATATTGTGTGTGTGTGTGTGTGTACCCTCTATGATATTGTGTGTGTGTGTGTGTGTACCCTCTATGATATTGTGTGTGTGTGTACCCTCTATGATATTGTGTGTGTGTGTGTACCCTCTATGATATTGTGTGTGTGTGTGTGTGTACCCTCTATGATATTGTGTGTGTGTGTGTACCCTCTATGATCTTGTGTGTGTGTGTGTACCCTCTATGATCTTGTGTGTGTGTGTGTGTGTGTGTACCCTCTATGATCGTGTGTGTGTGTGTGTGTGTGTATACCCTCTATGATCGTGTGTGTGTGTGTGTGTGTGTGTGTGTACCCTCTATGATCTTGTGGTAGTTGAAGTGCAGGTAGAGCAGGAACATCATATGGAGAACAGACAGAGTTCCACAGAGCAGCAGACGAGGAGTCTGACCCACAGTCCTGGAGAGGAGAGCTGTCACCTGAGAGAACAGAGGCATCATGGGTAATGTAGTGCTGATGGAGAACAGAGTGGCTGATGGGTAGTGTAGTGCAGAGAGAACAGAGTGGCTGATGGGTAGTGTAGTGCTGAGAGAGAACAGAGGGGCTGATGGAGAACAGAGTGGCTGATGGGTAATGTAGTGCTGAGAGAGAACAAAGGGGCTGATGGAGAACAGAGTGACTGATGGGTAATGTAGTGCTGAGAGAGAACAGAGGGGCTGCGTTTCACTTCGGTTAAATGGATTCCTTGCGTCCCTCTCTTGCGTGGTTTCCCTGCGACTAGTCCCTCCCACCAGGAAGCATGGAGAGACGCAAGGAAACCACGAGAAGCAGGGAAATGAGTTTTAAGGGCAATGGGACGTCCTTTCCTCCGGAGCGTCACGTGAAGCGACGTCCGTTTGTGATGACGCCGCACAGCTGATCGTCTGACAGCAGCTCTGTCCCCGTTGTTTTCACAAACACCCCCGCCTCATTTAGTACACATTTACTGACACAAACATGTGTATCATCTGTTGTAGACCCAAATAAATCAAATAAAATAAGAACTAATTCACAAAAAACATAAACGCCATTCTTAAAATGTATAAACGAACAATAGTTAGATTAATATTGATTAGAGTGCACAATAGAAATAAAATAATTGAGAGAAGAAAGAGAGATATGTTATCTATCAAAACCCAGTTAGATGAACATTCATTGGATTGCACACTGTGTTTGTTTGTGTGGATATGTAGCACATTAACATGTTAAATAGCACTTAATGACTGACTGAATGGAAATGACAATAAATGAAAATGTAAAACGAAAAAAGCGATCATGAAAATGTTTCCAATAAATGAATAAAATGATTGTTGTCCACTTTGTTGTTCAGATATATCACATATTTGTAACTGAATGATGCATTCATTGAAACAGAACCCAGTATGAACTGAGGAGTGAGTCCCGTGAGTTTCATGTGTTTTCTTCACTCCGCTGGGAAACTGCTCTCATGTCAAGAAGCATCAGATCAGTGCGCTGCATCGTCCAATCAGTGAGCGATACACAGTAAGGGGGCGGGGAGAGTCTCTGAGGATTTCATCGAAGGATGGTCTGGTGGTTCCTCGATTATCGCTCCTCCATTGTCGCTCCTCGCTCCTCGATCCTCGGTCCTCGGTCCTCCGGCAAAAATAAGGCCATTGGGACGTTACTCAAAATGGCGCAGACAAATCAACTTCCGGTGAGACCGAGACCGAGGAGCGAGGAAATGAAAAATAAGAGAAGTGAAACGCAGCCAGGGGCTGATGGAGAACAGAGTGGCTGATGGGTAATGTAGTGCTGAGAGAGAACAGAGGGGCTGATGGGTAATGTAGTGCTGAGAGAGAACAGAGGGGCTGATGGGTAATGTAGTGCTGAGAGAGAACCGAGGGGCTGATGGAGAACAGAGTGGCTGATGGGTAATGTAGTGCTGAGAGAGAACAGAGGGGCTGATGGAGAACAGAGTGGCTGATGGGTAATGTAGTGCTGAGAGAGAACAGAGGGGCTGATGGGTAATGTAGTGCTGAGAGAGAACAGAGGGGCTGATGGAGAACAGAGTGGCTGATGGGTAATGTAGTGCTGAGAGAGAACAGAGGGGCTGATGGGTAATGTAGTGCTGAGAGAGAATAGAGGGGCTGATGGGTAGTGTAGTGCTGAGAGAGAACAGAGGGGCTGATGGGTAATGTAGTGCTGAGAGAGAACAGAGGGGCTGATGGGTAGTGTAGTGCTGAGAGCGAACAGAGGGGCTGATGGGTAGTGTAGTGCTGAGAGAGAACAGAGGGGCTGATGGGTAATGTAGTGCTGAGAGAGAACAGAGGGGCTGATGGGTAATGTAGTGCTGAGAGAGAACAGAGGGGCTGATGGGTAATGTAGTGCTGAGAGAGAACAGAGGGGCTGATGGGTAGTGTAGTGCTGAGAGCGAACAGAGGGGCTGATGGGTAGTGTAGTGCTGAGAGAGAACAGAGGGGCTGATGGGTAATGTAGTGCTGAGAGAGAACAGAGGGGCTGATGGGTAATGTAGTGCTGAGAGAGAACAGAGGGGCTGATGGGTAATGTAGTGCTGAGAGAGAACAGAGGGGCTGATGGGTAATGTAGTGCTGAGAGAGAACAGAGGGGCTGATGGGTAGTGTAGTGCTGAGAGAGAACAGAGGGGCTGATGGGTAGTGTAGTGCTGAGAGAACAGATTGGCTGATGGGTAATGTAGTGCTGAGAGAACAGAGTGGCTGATGGGTAATGTAGTGCTGAGAGAGAACAGAGGGGCTGATGGGTAGTGTAGTGCTGAGAGAGAACAGAGGGGCTGATGGGTAGTGTAGTGCTGAGAGAGAACAGAGGGGCTGATGGAGAACAGAGTGGCTGATGGGTAATGTAGTGCTGAGAGAGAACAGAGGGGCTGATGGAGAACAGAGTGGCTGATGGGTAATGTAGTGCTGAGAGAGAACAGAGGGGCTGATGGGTAGTGTAGTGCTGAGAGAGAACAGAGGGGCTGATGGGTAATGTAGTGCTGAGAGAACAGAGTGGCTGATGGGTAATGTAGTGCTGAGAGAGAACAGAGGGGCTGATGGGTAATGTAGTGCTGAGAGAGAACAGAGGGGCTGATGGAGAACAGAGTGGCTGATGGGTAATGTAGTGCTGAGAGAGAACAGAGGGGCTGATGGGTAATGTAGTGCTGAGAGAGAACAGAGGGGCTGATGGAGAACAGAGTGGCTGATGGGTAATGTAGTGCTGAGAGAGAACAGAGGGGCTGATGGAGAACAGAGTGGCTGATGGGTAATGTAGTGCTGAGAGAGAACAGAGGGGCTGATGGGTAATGTAGTGCTGAGAGAGAACAGAGGGGCTGATGGGTAGTGTAGTGCTGAGAGAGAACAGAGGGGCTGATGGGTAGTGTAGTGCTGAGAGAGAACAGAGGGGCTGATGGGTAGTGTAGTGCTGAGAGAGAACAGAGGGGCTGATGGGTAGTGTAGTGCTGAGAGAGAACAGAGGGGCTGATGGGTAATGTAGTGCTGAGAGAGAACAGAGGGGCTGATGGGTAATGTAGTGCTGAGAGAGAACAGAGGGGCTGATGGGTAGTGTAGTGCTGAGAGAGAACAGAGGGGCTGATGGGTAGTGTAGTGCTGAGAGAGAACAGAGGGGCTGATGGGTAGTGTAGTGCTGAGAGAACAGAGTGGCTGATGGGTAATGTAGTGCTGAGAGAGAACAGAGGGGCTGATGGGTAGTGTAGTGCTGAGAGAGAACAGAGGGGCTGATGGGTAGTGTAGTGCTGAGAGAGAACAGAGGGGCTGATGGGTAGTGTAGTGCTGAGAGAGAACAGAGGGGCTGATGGGTAGTGTAGTGCTGAGAGAACAGAGTGGCTGATGGGTAATGTAGTGCTGAGAGAGAACAGAGGGGCTGATGGGTAGTGTAGTGCTGAGAGAACAGAGTGGCTGATGGGTAATGTAGTGCTGAGAGAGAACCGATTGGCTGATGGGTAATGTAGTGCTGAGAGAGAACAGAGTGGCTGATGGGTAATGTAGTGCTGAGAGAGAACCGATTGGCTGATGGGTAATGTAGTGCTGAGAGAGAACAGAGGGGCTGATGGAGAACAGTGGCTGATGGGTAGTGTAGTGCTGAGAGAACAGAGTGGCTGATGGGTAGTGTAGTGCAGAGAGAACAGAGTGGCTGATGAGTAGTGTAGTGCAGAGAGAGAGCAGAGGGGCTGATGGGTAATGTAGTGCTGAGAGAGAACAGAGGGGCTGATGGGTAGTGTAGTGCTGAGAGAGAACAGAGGGGCTGATGGGTAGTGTAGTGCTGAGAGAGAACAGAGGGGCTGATGGAGAACAGAGTGGCTGATGGGTAGTGTAGTGCAGAGAGAACAGAGGGGCTGATGGGAAACGTAGTGCTCACCATGCGCAGGGTGGACAGGCCTCCACACAGCAGCCAGAGGAAGTAGAACAGGAAGTGGAAGTGGATGTTGTAGGTGATGAAGAGGACCACGCAGTGTCCAAACAGACCGTAACCCTGGCAACGAGAGACAGGGAGCGATGTCACTACTTTATCAGAGTATTAACATCACCTGTACCATCACCTGTCTGTAGCATCACCTGTAGCATCACCTGTCTGTACCATCACCTGTCTGTAGCATCACCTGTCTGTAGCATCACCTGTCTGTAGCATCACCTGTCTGTAGCATCACCTGTCTGTAGCATCACCTGTCTGTAACATCACCTGTCTGTAGCATCACCTGTCTGTAAGATCACCTGTCTGTACCATCACCTGTCTGTAGCATCACCTGTTTGTAGCATCACCTGTAGTAGCATCACCTGTCTGTACCATCACCTGTCTGTACCATCACCTGTCTGTACCATCACCTGTCTGTACCATCACCTGTCTGTACCATCACCTGTCTGTACCATCACCTGTCTGTACCATCACCTGTCTGTAACATCACCTGTCTGTAACATCACCTGTCTGTAGCATCACCTGTCTGTAACATCACCTGTCTGTAGCATCACCTGTCTGTAGCATCACCTGTCTGTACCATCACCTGTCTGTACCATCACCTGTCTGTAACATCACCTGTCTGTAACATCACCTGTCTGTAGCATCACCTGTCTGTAACATCACCTGTCTGTAGCATCACCTGTCTGTAACATCACCTGTCTGTAGCATCACCTGTCTGTAGCATCACCTGTCTGTAACATCACCTGTCTGTAGCATCACCTGTCTGTAGCATCACCTGTCTGTAGCATCACCTGTCTGTAACATCACCTGTAGCATCACCTGTCTGTAGCATAACCTGTCTGTAGCATCACCTGTCTGTAACATCACCTGTCTGTAACATCACCTGTAGCATCACCTGTCTGTAGCATCACCTGTCTGTAGCATCACCTGTCTGTAACATCACCTGTCTGTAGCATCACCTGTCTGTAACATCACCTGTCCGTAGCATCACCTGTCCGTAAGATCACCTGTCCGTAGCATCACCTGTCCGTAAGATCACCTGTCCGTAAGATCACCTGTCCGTAGCATCACCTGTCCGTAGCATCACCTGTCCGTAGCATCACCTGTCCGTAACATCACCTGTCCGTAGCATCACCTGTCCGTAACATCACCTGTCCGTAACATCACCTGTCCGTAACATCACCTGTCCGTAAGATCACCTGTCTGTAGCATCACCTGTCTGTAGCATCACCTGTCTGTAGCATCACCTGTCTGTAACATCACCTGTAACATCACCTGTAGCATCACCTGTCTGTAGCATCACCTGTCTGTAGCATCACCTGTCTGTAGCATCACCTGTCTGTAGCATCACCTGTAGTAGCATCACCTGTAGTAGCATCACCTGTAGTAGCATCACCTGTCTGTAGCATCACCTGTCTGTAGCATCACCTGTCTGTAGCATCACCTGTCTGTAGCATCACCTGTCTGTAGCATCACCTGTCTGTAGCATCACCTGTCTGTAGCATCACCTGTCTGTAACATCACCTGTCTGTAACATCACCTGTCTGTAGCATCACCTGTCTGTAGCATCACCTGT